TAAAATCCCCAACAAAGCTGAAAACCAGCTCCTCGAATACTATATCAAATAATAAATAATGTGTTCAGCTTGCTCTCTGTCATGCACTAACAATCATGGGGTCAACTTACTATCCTGTCCAGATTTGCAATGATGTACATATATGTCTGATGTCTGTCATTAAAAAATTATATGAATAATAACACTACAGAAAAATGGGCTTCAGAATTTTTTGAGGAGAAGAAACGTAGTATTGTATTTATTTTAAAGTGTATTATATTTAGATAAAAAACCTTTTTAATACATTTATGCTTAAATCAAAGTGAATTGTATTTAATTTCTCGATGTGTGTATTTAAGAACTGAATATTTAATTTAAATATGGGAATGCCAGTTTTTGTCTGAGTGTATAGACTTTTAATTGACTTTTTCCAAGCCTTTGCTATATTATTATATGGTAAAAAAAATATTTTCAAATTTGTATAAGAGTACCTACAATAGTGCTTAAACTGTTGTCAGTTGGAGATACTTTTGGAAGAGCATCAAGGATACTGGATGCCCTAGATACTTCTACAATATAGTGCCAGATATAACCAGATATAATTTATTTCTGAATTAATTAATCGCATAGCATCATCTAGAGTATTCTTCGCGGAGTAGGGTATTCATGTATCTGTTTCTATTTTGGGCTTCGTTTCATTTTTATTTTTTCTTCGGTTGTTGTTGTTGCTGCTGCTGCTGGTGAATGACCGTTAACATTTATGAGATCGAAGTGGTTTTTTTCTGTTTCTGTGTTGTTTGTCGGTTTCTCGTTTTTGGGCATCGGTCAAGATTACGTTTGATCTGTCTTTTGTTCTATTAAGTTGTCTTTGTAGCAGCGTTTGAGATCTTTTGGATTGGATAAGGGTGTATCTACATTAGAGGGAGCTAAAAAGCGATAGAAAGAGAGAGAGAGGGAGATCGATCCCAAGGCAATTTAATTAGAGATACGAAGACAGCGGGACTACCTTCAATTATCCAAATTGATGTGACAATTAACACTTTTGAACTTTTGCGGCTGCTGCCTCACCTCGGGAAATATTGGAGGATGACCTATAGAAGGGGATGGGCTGGGCTGGACTGGGAATTTGTTGCCAATAAATTGTATGCAATTGGAACACTTGTTGCATGCCATTTGCCATCCCAATCTTGGCATGCAAATTTATTTCAATTGCATTTAATTTGTGCGGATTAGTAGACACCAAGACACAAGGTGGGAGGGTGTTTCCAGGCTGGAGACTGGAGACTAGTCAGCCTACCAATTAAGAGTCACAATTTATAACGATTTATTAGCAATTTAGAAACGTTGAACTGGGGCCGGGCCTCATTTTCTATTCGAATTTTGACATATTTTGCAGCTTCCTTCCACGTGATTCGACGGATAACAAATACTAATTGCTCTCGGGGGGAATGGGGTCTATGGCGTATTGGGGACTGTAAAAGATTGGATGGATTGGAATGGAGCATAAAAGGGAATAAAAGATATAAACATGTACAAAAGGAATAGGAAATATGCTCTTAAATGTCATGATAAAGGAGGAATACTGCAAGATTCAGAAAACGTAGAATATATCTTATGATATTCAATGGTATCAAGATGGCTAGTTCTTGAAGAAGATTTACATTGCGAATAGATAGAGGATAAAGGAGAATACAGAACAAAAGTTATAATATATAATGGAACAGAATAGAGAGAAATAAAATGCAGAGATACAAAAAGAGTAGAAATCTGGCTCTGAAAACTGATAGATAGAAGTAGAAAAATATTGACTTTAATACATTTATGGAATAATTTACGAAATATTCAGATAAAGCATTTCCCTCCTTAATGGAAATTATATATACATATATGATGATTTTAGTAGGTACTTAGACACATGTAATTCATGAAATGTGGGGAATATAGTGTCAAAGTATTTATGAGTATTAATGGTATATAAGTAGATAGTAGTAGAGCCCAGATGTGTTTATGGGTAGGTTTTGGAGGGAACATACATATATAATAATCCCTTTATTATATGAAACAGTTTTGGGTCATATTTCATCATATGTCTGGCCGCCAAAGAGCTTCTGCACGTAAAAAAATTATTGATAAATCGCGGCACCTCGAGGATATTTCACTTGGAAGGTTGCAGGAGGCTTGTACATATATATTTATAAATTAAGATTGAATGTTATGTGGCTATTGCTATTTCTGTAGTATAAAGCTAAAGCTAAAGTCTAGACGCTCATTTACTTAATATTTAAGTAAAGATGATATATCTTAATGTTTAGCAATGTAGATACTCTCCTACTTAAAAGTCATAGAATGGCAATAGTTTTGGAACGTCTATCTATTGCGTTGTCTTAAATTTATCGCTGTGGTTACGACCACCCTCCCCATGGAGCTTACACAAACCCTTACTCAACGAGGAAATTGAGGATTTTTGGGGAAAATCGCGTGTGAATAACCTCCATTGCGTCGTTTTCATTTTGAACAAACACGTGGGGGCAGACTGTCGGTTCTTTGTGTCCTTTGTGTCCTTTGTGTTGTCATACTTTCGTGTCCTTGCTTCCGCAAATGACGCCAAAAATTTCCATCCACGAAAAGCATAGGTCAGTGCGAGTCGAGTGCAATTTGGAGTCGAGTGGAATGTGGACTTCGACTGAGTCGAGTTGAGTGAAAGTTAGAAGCAGGAACAGGAAGCAGGAAGCAAGAACAAAGGATAAACTCGCTCTCTCTCTCTTTTTCTGTGTTTATGACTCTCTTTTTCTCTGTACTGAGTGATCAACCCCCGGACTAATGACGCAGCAGCCTCATAAAAACTGTTTTTTCTATGAAATACCCAACATCATCCCATCATCCGAAATTCGTTTTCGTTTGCAGATTCAGATTCAGAAGTTCAGGTTCAAATGTTTATGCTCGGGGTTGTCCCGTCCCCTATTCGGGGGTTGTTCCACACGAGCTCGGTCTCTCTCTGGACTGTTTGTGTGTGTTTAGTGTGGCATGTGGCATGTTTCGAATGTTGGAAATTTACAAGAATTTTCCAAATGCTTGTTGTCTGTGTCTGTTGTCTGGTCTGGAGTTTGTGCCTCGTCTGCATTTCGTTTTTGTGGCTATTTTGGTTGCGCTTGGCAGTGACCTTGAGCCAGCCATCGCATGTGTTGCCTGCTGCCAGATCTGCCCTCTACCATTGTATTCTATCCCCTATTCGTCCCCCGGATTTCCAGCCTCAACACATCGCACATCCCATTGCCCACCACCGATTCAACAAAGTTCTGTTTACACATCTTGTGTCTATCAGCTAAAACATTGTTAACCTTTCGCTTCATAGATTTTTATATATTTACATATACTACATACATATGTATGTATACACATACATATAAGT